AATTGATTAATCCGTCAATTATTTTTTTTTTCCCGATTAATAATCAGATAGACAAAGGTTCCTTAAAGAAGATTTTTTACTAAATTAAACAAGGTGAAACAGAAATGCTTCCTCTTGAGGAATTCTGGATGGAGAATATTGACAGACAATTTTTTTTTTTTGTCTTAAATGCAAAAATGTTTACATATTTTTTTACAGTCTTGGTATAATTCCTGCTCTAAATGGGTCGCTCTGTCAGCTAAAGGCACATTTCAGAGGCCCTATACTCCAGTTAACAATTAATCAATTACTAAATTAGGTGACAATTATTTAAATAATCCATTAATATGATTTTTTCATCCCAAGATAAAATATATGAAATTAGCTTCACAGAGTAACTGTAGCTCATATGTACAACTTGTAAAGTGAAGTTAATATTTTAAATGCTCAGTGTCAGTTCCTCTTATAGTTCCAGTGCAGATGTAAATACAATACATTTATTTTGCTGTCCCTTGAATGTATTATTTTGCATGATAAAGAGAGAGCATATTAGATAAAAAAAATAAAAGTGGGGTTTACCTCTGTTTACCTCTACACAATTCTATATCTTCAAAAGAAAACACAAGATTAATCCACATATAACAGACATATTTAGCAATATTTGGTTATATAGACACTGTCTTAGTCGCTGGTAAGTTTAAATGAAAACCTTTTCAAAGTGGAAAAAAATCCTAATTCCACATTCGTCAGAGCCAGTGATTTGTATTAATGAAGCAAGAAATGCTGCTGTTCTCTTTAAAAAAAATGTGCCCTGATGTTTACATTAAGCATAAAAAAGAGCATGCATTTTTTGCATAGGACCAATGACACCAGACCAATGTAAATGAAGACTAATAGTGTCCCTACCAAAGTTGAAATCAAACCTACGCCCTTGCTTTAAACAGTCAGATTTCAAACTCAACCATTGCCAAGACCTAAGTGCTGCTGAAGGACATCAGGAAGAAAACTGTAGACCTGGACCCGGCTGTGAGAGTGAATCTACAACAGGCAAGAAAGTTGGAGGGAATAAATAAACAGTGGAAACAACAGGAAAAAAATGGAAGAAATACAAGG